AAGATGACACATAAGAGTATGTAGACCCTGGATCAAATAGCACTGAAGCATCCCTACTACAAACCCGAATCGTACTTGTGATGACTGCATCGGAAGCCTCAGCCTCCAGCCTGGCTGGAAGAGCATAAAATCGGGGCTAGGCCCCACCACCCTGGACTACATCCCTGGGACGGCCTGCTGCTGGCTGGCCTCCACCTGTAGCGGCCTGAGCTCCACCTCTAGCACCTCTACCTCCACCTCTAGCACCTCTACCCCCACCTCTGGCTGGCTGCGCGGGCTGTGGAACACTCGGTGCCTGAACCATGGCACGGGAACCCGGATGCTGAGTGCTGCTTGATGCTCGAGGACAAAATGTAGCAATGTGACCCATATCACCACAAGTATAACAAGTCCTCGGCTGCTGAGACTGCTGACCCTGACGACCTGAATGGCCACCCCGAAAACTCTGGAGCGGCGGTGCACTGATAGGAGCTGGTGGTGTTGTAGGACTGCTGATCAGAATACTGCATGTGAGAACCACGACCACCTGAAGCACCGTGAGAAACCTGAAGGGCCGACTGAAAAGGCCTAGGAGGATGGCCTCTACCATACGAATCCCTGCCTCCAAACGAGGCGCCACTGAATCTGCCTGAATGACGAGGCCTCTTGTAAGACCCCTGACCACCTCCCTGTGATAGAACCATCTCAACTCTTCTGGCCACATTGGCTGCCTCCTGGAAAGAAATCTCACTCCCCGTCTCCTTAGCCATCTGAAGTCGAATAGGCTGGATAAGTCCCTCAATGAACCTCCTCACTCTCTCTCTCTCTCTCAGTGGGAAGTATAAGTAGAGCATGACGGGCCAACTCGATAAACCAGGTCTCGTACTGAGTAACAGTCATGGAACCCTGCTGGAGACACTCAAATTGCCTCCGATAGATCTCTCTCTGAGTAACGGGAAGAAACTTCTCCAAGAATAGCTGAGTAAACTGCTCCCAAGTCAAAGCTGGTTATCCGGCTGGTCTAGCCAAACAGTAATCTCTCCACCAAGTCTTGGCGGATCCAAATAAGCGAAAAGTAGCAAAATCAACCCCATTGGTCTCCACTATCCTCATGTTCCTGCGAACCTCGTGACAACTGTCTAGATAATCCTGGGGATCCTCAGAAGATGCACCGCTGAAAGTGGCAGTAAAGAGCTTGGTGAACCTATCCAATCTCCACAAGGCATCGACAGTCATAGCTGCTCCGTCACCGGTCTGGGCTACCACACCCGGTTGAACTGCTCCAACTGGCTGAGCTGCTGGAGTCTGAAATTGGGGAGCCACCTGCTCTGGAGTACGAGTAGCAGGAGTCTGGGCCCTCCTCCAGCCTGAGAGACGGCTGGGCTACAGGAAACAAGCCTGCCTGGGTGACACTCTCTATGAGGCCCACTAGACGGACCAGAGCATCCTGAAGTACTAGGGTGGCAATGAACCCCTTTGGGACCTGAGCTAGGCCCACCGGAGCTATCTGGGCCAGAACCTCCTCGTCAAACTTAACCTGAGGCTCCGCCACTGGTGCTGCTACTCCGGGCTGAGTTCTGCCCCTACATAGGCCTCTAGCACGGCCTCGACCTCGCATTCTGCCCCTCGTGGGAGCTGCTGCTGGGGGCTCGGGCTGTTGATCAGCGGATGAGGAAGCGCATGTTCTCGGCATCTGCGAAAGAACAGAGTAGAAATTCAATTAGCATTGAGAAACCAAACCGCACGACAGGAAAGAATAGAAGTGAAGTTTTTCCTAACTCTGTAACCTCTGGGGATAAATACAGACGTCTCCGTACCGATCCCTAAGACTCTACTAAGCTTGTCTGTGAATTGTGAGACCTATGTAACCTAGAGCTCTGACACCAACTTGTCACGACCCGGATTTTCCACCCTCAGGAGTCGTGATGGCGCCTACTAGTGAAAGCTAGGCAAGCCAATCAACTGAGACCTATGTAACCTATAGCTTTACCTCTTGATTCCACCACCAATTCTCTCGTATCTAGCAACAAGTTACTTAATTACATCAATAAATGCTAAACGAATCGATTCTAATGCATGGAAATAAGTTTTCTAAAGTTTTTCCCAAAGAGTCAAAAATCGACCCCGGTCCCACATGGTCAAAACCCAACGTTCGAACCAAAACCCGACTAGCCATTCACCCACGAACTCAAATATACAATTTATTTTGAAATCTCCCCAAAATTTTAAAAACCCTAGGTTCTACCCAAAACACCCAATTTCCCCCATGAAAATCATTGATTTTGAGTTAAAATCATGTGAAAAGATGTTAAGGATTGAAGAAAACTAGTTAGAAATAACATACAATCGATTTGGAGAAGAAGTTGCCTTTGAAAAATTGCCCTAGAGTGTTTATGTTTTGAGAAGATATGAAAAATGGTTGAAAATGCGTCTAAGTGTTGATTTGCAGGTCTCTGATGTCTCAATTGCGACCAGGGTTCGCAATTGCGAACCCTTCAGAATACTAGGACTTTCGCATTTGCGAACAAAATGTCGCATTTGCGACCAAGTCAATTATCCGACCTCCTTCTCATTTGCGATAGGCCTAACGCATTTGCGAATACCGCATTTGCGATACTTGTGTCGCATTTGCGACTTCAGGCATAAACTGAACACTTCGCATTTGCGAAGTGTATCTCGCAAATGTGAGATAAGGCTGGCCCGAGGTTCTTCGCATTTGCGACGAATTTCTCGCATTTGCGAACCCTGCTCGCATCGCAATTTCGATGCATGATCTCGCAAATGCGAGATCAGAGGCCTGCTACACACCTGCAACACACCAGCAATTTTCCTAAGTCCAATTTCACTCCGTGGCCAATCCAAAACTCACCCGAGCCCTCGGGGCTCCAAACCAAACTTGCAAACTAACCCAAAAACATCATACGGACTCGCTCGTGTATTCAAATCACCAAAATAACATCTACAACTATGAATTTAGCATCAAAATCATGAATTCACTTAAGAACATCAAATTTTTCAATTCTCTCAAATAAGGTCCGATTCACGTCATTTCAAGTCCGTTTCTTACCAAACTTCATAGACTCAACTTAAATCACATATAAGACCTGTACCGAGCTCCGGAACCAAGATACGGGCCCGATACCATCAAATTTCAAACACATTTCATTTTCAAAAACTCATGTATTTTTCAGAACATAATTTTCTTTAAAAATTCATTTCTCGGGCTAGGGACCTCGGAATTCGATTCCGGGCATACGCCCAAGTCCCATATTTTCTTACGGACCTCTCGAGATCGTCGGAACACGGATCCTGGTCCGTTTACTAAAAATGTTGACCGAAGTCAACTTAAATTTATTTTAAAGGCAAAATTCATTATTTTTCACAGATTTTCATATAATGGCTTTCGGGCTGCGCACCCGGACTGTGCTCGCAAATCGAGGTGAGGTAAAAAGGAGGTTTTTAGGCCTCGGAACACTGAATTTATTTCTAATACAAGTGATGACTTTTTGGATCATCACAATGGCCCCCACAACAAGATAAGGTTTACTACCACTGATTGTATGTTCAAGACTAGAATTGAATAAATTTATAATAAGTTCATCAATTCTCCTCAAGAAAAGAAGTTTGCTGTTGTCAAACCCCAGGACGTCGTAGCAGAATACATATTGGGGTGCAGATTACTCGCAAATGTTGCATGGGATCAAGTTGATTATGTGATCATGCCCGTCAACATTGTAGAAAAATTCCACTGGTTGTTGGTTGTTTTTGACATTGCCGATAGGGTACTTTATGTGTATGATTCTATGGTCTCTTCACATAATCACTCTATTGTTGAATCTGTAGTCACCAAGTTTTCTGTTCTGATCCCCCTTTACTTGTCATGCACCGGTTTTTATGGCAAGCGTTCAGACATCAACTTCAAGAACACAAAGGCATACATTGAAAAAGCTGTTACCGACCCTATTGACATTCAGTGGCTCGTCGGAGGGATACCACAGCAAAAAGTAGGATCACTGTATGAAAAATCTTATTTCTTTCTATCTATTTAACATTTTTTTTGTTCATTGTTTGCTAAATATTGACACTTTTTTATTTTTGCAGCGACTGTGGTGTATATGTTGCTGCCTTTGCAGAGCATGTCAGCATTGGAGACCTAGCAGTTCCTGCGGATGACCCTTCTGATATTGATCAACATCGTATACGCTATGGAGCGCTACTGTGGGACTACGCTAGGAAGAAGCAAGAGAATGGTGCAATTAGTGAAAGTGAGGTGACTGGCAGATTAGCAAGGAAAAAAGGTGCACCAGTTGTGAACAAGAAAACACAAGTCTTGAGGAAGAAGAATTAGTTGCAATTTTTTGAATGGAACATGTAGTTAAAATTATTTAGTTACAGCTAATTTTGTAGAAAGATAGTAGACAAGTTCATGAACAAGATTGTTGAAGTTTAATTGTAGCAGATTTGTGCTACAATTATTTTACCCTTTATTTTTTTTATTTTATCCAGTATACTAGTTCGATCAATGGGGAAACATTCTGTTATTTTTATATTAACTTGTTGAAAGTAAATAGTACTTGATCTAATTATTGTTACTGGTTAACTCCTTTTCAACTTAATTATTATGTAGTTACTCTGTCAACTCCAGATTATGTAGTTATTTTGTAGTTTTTTTGTAGATAAATTGTAGGGATCATTAGCAACTATCGATGGGTGCTTATAACAATTGTGTATTATATATATAGAAATCATTCACAAATCAATCAAGCTATGAAAGTATTAACTCAATACAGAATACTAATTAAACAAAATAATTTCAAACTAACTACATTAAGAGTTGAAGGTGCCTCAACTATTACACATCAAATATAATTCTCCTGAACTCATTAACAATTTTTATGAAAAATTCAGTTTACTACATAAAATTTTATTTCTTTTTGGGAGCATTCTTGCAAGATCTTTTGTTATGCCCTTCTACTCCGCAGTTTCCACATGAAACCTTGTACTTCTATGAATTTACTTCATCATATGTTTTGTATCTTTGTTTTTGAGGTCTTCCTGGCTGTCTTTTCACAGCTGAAGGTGGTTTTTACAACTTCTTCAGTTATATGTTGTGGCACATTCCATTTGCTTTCATCAGGTAGGGGATTTATTGGTATTTCATAAGTACGCAAGAGGCTCTCCCTTGTGTAATAAGGAGAACAATATTGTTCATAAGACTCATCCCTGTGCCTTAAAGCAATCAAAGCATGTGGACAAGGAAGTTCATCAAGATGGAATTGCCCACAACTACATCTCTTGTTTTCAAGACAAACAATATAGCGTCTCACACCATTTAGTACTGTATGGATGTAATCTGTTGAAGCCCTCACCTACAATTACAATACAAACAAAAAAACAATTCATATACAGTTAAATACAAAATATCTACAAATTATCTAGATTGTCTTTTAATAATTTATTTTGATGAAATAAATGGTCAGATCTTACTCTAAGCTCGTGCGACAATGTTCTGTTGTCATCCAACTCTTTGTTGAATTTAAACCCAAGGTATGTGAATGTACCCTTTGATTTCAATAACGTTTCCTTAGTCCAGTGTTCAAGAAGAGTCCTCATATACTCTAATAGTTCTACTATCGGCAGCTCTCTTGCATATTTTGTTACAGCATTCAACGACTCTGCAATGTTTGATGTCATAGTCCAAGTTCTATTCACCGTAGCATGTACTCGAGACCATCTATGATAGCCAATATCGTATAAGTATGCTTTAACACGCGGGTCAATCTCTTTAATCTTTGACATCCTTTCATTAAATTCATCAAGCGTGTATGATCGTGTCGTGGAAAAGTACAATTCGCTTAACTTAAGATGACCCTTCTTGAACTTTGCCCTTATATTTGTCCAAATATACCACATGCAAGAATAATGTGGCATGCCGGGATAGACAATAGATGTTGCCTTCAAGATACTCTCACTACGATCCGAAACAACACACATATTTGATTTTTCACCATATGCATTTTTGAATTGCTCAAAAAACCACTTTCATGATGCGTCATTTTCTGAATCAACAACAGTATATGCCAATGGTAATATGGTACCTACATTATGTGGCAAAAAGCAATTAATTGGCTTCATGAAAAATGGAGATGAAGACATATACATAGAAACTACAACTTTTCAACAATGTATCTACAATAAATTTACAAGTACTACAAAAAACAGACAAGCTACAATATTTCTACAATATAACTACAATAAATCTACAGTACCTGCTGCATCCATTGTACTAGCTATTAGCATTATTCCCCTGTATGCTGACTTTAAGAAGGTCCCATCAACTACTATAACTGGCTACAATATTCCCAACCACTGATTGACATACAAATCGCAACAAATACATATAAGAAGTAGTCATCGTCCGTCTTCTTTAATTTAACTACAGACCCCGGATAAGTCTTCTCTTGAATATACAAATAACTAGGCAATTTGCTGTAGGAGTCAGCAGGATGACCTCTCAAAAACTCCAAAGCCTTTTCCTTTGCTCTCCAAGCTTGCATGTATGTTAAGTTCACGCCGTGTTCAAACAACATATTAATTTGTATGTCTTTTGGTGTGTAAATTATCTTAGGATCAGCATATTTTGGAATAACCATGCTACACACTACCATGGCAGTAGGTTTGCGTTGTATGAATGTACAGTCCATCAAAAAGCATGTGTGCAAGCTGTTGAATTTTCTAACCTTGAACATTGCAGAATCAATTATGCTAGTTGCCTTGAAGTGCCATGTAGAATTTTCACCAACGCATACCAGCCAGTAGCTACAAAATAAAAATAATTTAAACACTGGTATAAAAAATGTAGATAAAAAAACGGTTGTAGCATAAAAGATCATATTCAACAATTTATATACAAAACAACTACAAACTATCTACAATTTTGTTAAACAGCATCACAAAAAAAAACTGAAGAAGTAAAATTTTACAAATAAACTACAAAATTAAAAAAAATGATTATTGACCATTCATATGTTCCTACCTTCTAGCACTAGATCTTTTCACCCTAAATTGGAACTTGTTCATGACAGAATAGTGCTTCATTGCACTTGCAATTGTCTGCTTGTCTTGGTATACTTGGCCTACTTCAATAACACTTGGTGTACTTTCTGTTATTATTATACTTTTGATAATAGGTGAATTTGACTATAATCACACCTTAAATAATCACCTTCTTGTGTAGTTTTAATGTTAAAAGTGATGACAAAATGCTCTTATTAGTGCTTTTCATGATTTGTAGGTGATATATGTATAAGGAAGGCTAAGGAGCAGTTTTGGAGTCAAAAGTGATGAAAAAGAGGCCAACTGCGAAATTTCCCAAGTGACCCGTGCAAAACAGGCCGAAGATTCAGAGAATTGGATCCACCGCGGTTCCACCGCGACCGCGGCAGAACCGCGGTGGGAAGCAGCTGCAGAAGATTGAGAATCCGCGAGGGTGTTTGGCCGCGGTTCTACCGCGACCGCGGCAGAACCGCGGCAGGCGCATTAAACTTCAGGGACCAAAGTGTCAATTACGGAATTTTTAGACCTAAACCCTATTTAAAACATTAGACTTCGCCCAAGAGAGGCATGTATTGATTTTTTAGGTTTCTTAGCAAGGAAAACGATTGTGAGAAAATACTCTAAACATCTTTCTTCTTTTCTTTTGATTTTATGATGAATTCAATCTTAGTTTATTTTCCCATAGCCATGAGTAGCTAAATTCCTTGTCTAAGGCTTTGATGGAACCTATTGGGTGATGAACTTCTTGTTTGTGTGAATACAAATTGCTAGTTTAATCTTTATTTGTTCAACTTCGTGTTCGTTGTAGTTAATTGACAGGATCCTCAATTAGCTGTGCCTATTTAGTGTGCATAACTTGGAAAAGAGTGCATATTTAAGGTATTGTTGAACAACACCACTCCTAGATTATTAGAGGAATCTATAATTGCGGGTTTAAAGGCGGGATTAGGAATAACGAAGCCTTGGGTGTAATCTAAGTGAATTGTGCTAAATAAAGTAAGCTAGTGTATCTCGGGAGAGTGCAATAGTAGATTACTGTGATTATTCGGGAGAGAATTGCGGTAAGATTAGCGTTCATGATTGATAGAGATGTGTGGGTAAATTTGTATGAGCATAAACAGAAGGGATTCCATCAATAGGGGAAATCATTGCCTTAGCTTTTTCTCATAATTGTTTACAACCTTATTAATTTAGTTACAGCCATTAGTTACTTGCAAGCTAGTTGTTAAAGAACACTCAACTGAGAATTTGAATATTTGAGAAGCTGGTTCTGAAGACTTGGTGGGTCTGAAGATAACGGTTGATAGGTTAACTCTCTGTGGATTCGACCCTGGGCGTAATACTCGGGTTATATTTGCAACGTCCGCAGAGTCCTTTTTATAAGGCATAGTTGGGCGTGATCAACTTTCATATTCCACTATCGCCGGAGATGTTGGAATATCAATTAACTTCAGTGTTCCAGATGAACCTGCAATAAAATAAAGCTAAATATTGTTATGAACTATTTTTTTGTAGATATTTTGTAGTTAATTTGTAGAAATATTGAAATTCTATATTTCATATTGAGCTACAAATGATATGTAGTTTTATTGTAGAAATATTGTAGATACAATGAAATTCAATACTAAAATATATATAGACTTTGACATGTAGTTTTTTTGTAGAAATATTGTAGATAATGTGTAGATAAGTAATATACAACCAAAATTCGATAGTAATGTAACAGAACAAACCTCCAACTATGTTCGGATTGGTGATACTCAATTCCAAAATTGGAATCACGTACTGTTATACATAGCGGATATGTTTCTAAACTTTTGTTTTCCTTTTTCGTCTCCATGTATACACGAACACCCATATCGTTCCTAATTTTCATTGGAGGACAATGTTCATTGACAATGTATTTAATTTCTATTATTTTTTCGGATGTATCTATCATTAGATGCTCTGCTATTGTAGAATTCAATAGGCTATAACACGCATCCTCGCCGACTACAATTCCATCGACCTGAAAGTCTCTATATCTCCCATAGCTATCCCAATTCCCATTCAGTTGAAGCATAATTGAGATTTTTGACATAATTGCGGTTGTTACAGAAGAATTGTAGCTAATTTAGTCGCTTTTGATTTGTGATATCAGAAAAATCAGTGAAACAGAGTATTGTCGTAAAAACATAGTAGTGAATTCTGGAGAGAAACGGGCGAAATTTAATAGCGAGATTTGCGTTTGATAAAATCTGGAAGAATCCTTAATATCCCAACATTCGCGCACCTAATAAAGGAATTGTACAGCTAACAGGATTATGTTTTTAATGAGTTGTTTATATTTTGTAGAAAATCTGTTAGCAGGGCGGGTAATTTGCAAATCATGAACATTTTTCGTAATATAGTTTCCTATATGGTATAGGAACGAAAATTTTCCATAATTTATTTACTCAGTCTATTTTAGCTTGTCCAAATTTGCCTTAATCTGCCTAATTGATCCACTTAGGCTTAATTATGTGTTAACATGACAGTCTTTAATTGATAATTTTACCTTATGCGGCAGCCTAGTTGTAATTTATGTTGCCAAGTTGATGAATTTCCAGCGTTTTGCATTTTATGCAAAATATAGAGATATTTAATTTATTTTTCGTTACAAAATTTAGCTTTTATAACTTTTCTGCAAAATATCCTTAATTTCGATGTCCATCGGTGAAATTAGGGGCGTACATAGGTCGGGTTGGTTCGAATTTTACAGTTACCAAACCAACCAAATCGTGTCGGGTTATTAAATTTAAAGATCAAACCAAACCAATAAAACTCGGGGTTTTCACTCTCGGGTTTTCGGGTTTTTCCGGTAAAAATCTTCGTAGAACAAAACATATAAATTGGGTCAAAATATTTCTTTAATCCTAGTAAAATACAACTATATAAAGTATTTTACAAGAAAATAATACATGATATGAGATGTGTCATGGCATTATCCTAAAATATTCAACAATAAAGACAATAAAATTATGTAATATAAATATTGCTAATTAAAAAGCTATAATAAGAATAAACATAATCTAAAAGTACTAAGCCATGCTAAAATAAGTAGACTAATAAGGGAATTTTAATTACATGACTAAACGCTAAAGAAAATATAAAAATTGGTTATGCATTTTTATCTAAATTATAGTAAAACAAAAAATAGATATTCAATACATTCCCTTTCGTAGTATTGAATTGAATGTCTTTTGTTAGCATTAGTATTGATTTGATTTTGGTTTGAGCTTTTGTTAGCATTATTTAATTTACTAATATTAATGGCTATAAAACTTATTGGAACATTCAAAAGTTCTAAGTCCAACATTGAAATAATACCTTAAAAGATAAAATTATGAAATTTTTTTAAAAAATATTTATATATTACATCACAATAAGTATATTTATATATTAAATATATCTAAAATTTATATAGATGTAATGTCGGGTTGGTTTGGTTTCAGTTTGATTTTTTTTAGTTAAAATCAAACCAAACCAATAATGGTTGGGTTTTTTTTTCCAACACCAAAACAAATTAAACCAAATCATAGTAGATTTTTTTTTTCGGTTTGATTCGAATTATCAGGTTGGTACGGTTTATCGGTTTCTTTTGTACAGCCTTAGGTGAAATTATATCCACCAAATAGACTACTCGCGATCCCTCTTTTCTTTTTTCTTGCTTTGTAGGACTGACCGAATTAAAATTATAAATGCGAATTAACGAAATCTATAGC